TTCACTATTAATTACCTCAGGTTGAAGACAGTCCATACATATGAGACCTGGTAGTGTCTCAGTGCCACCTCCAGGCACGGGACGTCCCCTGTGTCCTGAAAATAGTAAAGGCAAGCACAAGATTTTCTTTCTTATGAGAGCAGCTGCATCTATAGATACACTAGAAACTAGTCTGAACTGAATATGCTTTGTAATTTTGTTGTTTATGATTTTTCAACATTTCAACTGCATTTAAGGTAAATATTTATGAGAACAGAAATTAATTGCAATAAACATTTTACTTTCACATTTCAATAATTATTTTCATGACCGTCAATTACCTCCTATGGACCAGGGGATTGCGTTGGGCTACATCAGGCCAAGCCGCAAGTTTTGCCTTTTTAGCTGGAACACTGCAATTGGAAACAGTTCACAATACAAACCGAATCTCAGTCATTTTCCAAACAATGCCAGGTTCTGGTACTTCATACTTTTTCAATAAATTTTCTTCTCTTAAGGTTGTATGCTACCTTACTGATTGTCCCCATTTAGTTGTTGTTTGAGACTCCTGGTATACATTTGAATAGGATGTGACATTTTTATGTAAATTATTATCCAAAGGTTTAACTACATTGCATTAAGACATTCATGGGAGATAACTGCAACACAAATCAAAACCAAAATTTGTCAGTTACCATACACACTTAAGACAAAGTTGATGAGCAATCCGTACCTTGGATCCTGGAATGCCCTACATACATGTGGATGGGACATCACACTGCCAGTATGCCCATCCTAAGGTTACCTTCCCCCAGGGAAGGCCCTTCTGACTGCCTCCACACTGCAGGCTAAAGATACAAATTGATTGAGTTAAGGTTTATACTATGGAAAAGTTTCAACATTTCTGTGATTATAATTAACACATTCACCAGACAAAAATTATAAACATGCCCATCCTAAGGTTACCTTCCCCCAGGGAAGGCCCTTTTGACTGCCTCCACACTGCAGGCTAAAGATACAAAATGATTGAGTTAAGGTTTATA